TGGACGTGTGAATCTGTGAATATGTGAACACTGAACACCACCGAGCCCAAATATCTTGCGCTAAAATAGGACTTTTCTATACGGACGTCGGAAGAACCGAATGCGCTACGGTAGAGGGAAGTTTAATTTTGCTTGATGCGATGGACTCTCGAGAATGAAGTGAGTGACGCTTGAGATTACAGCCCAACGTGTAGATACTAGGTAGAATTCACAGACGCTGGTTATATGTTGTTATATGATGTTTCTTATTCCTGGACGATAGATCATAGATGTGAGTGACATGATCTGGTGTCATCTCCGTGGGTTATTCTGGTCTATAGGAATGAAGGACAATCTGACTCTCATCCAATTCCAATTCCAATTCCGATTCCAATTCCAATCACAATTACAATTCCAATTCCAATGCTCATTCTGATTCTGATTCTCACGGCTCCATCATATCATACTTCACGGAATACCTAGGTAGACAGTTTCCACTTTTAGTTTAACCTTTGCATAGGTAAGAGATATCATTTTTCTTTCCATTTCTTTCCCTTCCCTTCCCTTCACTTCACGACTCTCTCTTCTCCTCTTTGCCATCTCATATCCCGGTCAAGCTTCACTCGAGGATCCAAGAGGCGATAACTACAACCTTACCTGACCAGCCTTCCTTGTAAAACATTGATAATCGATTGCAGAGAAAATAAAATCATTTTTCTCGTTTTCTGCCATGTCGCTAAATTAGCGTGAGCATTAGAGTTTCTTAGTTGGGTAGTAGTTGTTTTTTTGGTTGGACCTAGTCGTACCTACTACCTAGTCGTACCTACTACCTAGTCGTACCTAGTCGATCTATCATCTATCTCATGGGCTGCGTCGCTCCTCCGAAAGATCAAAGCTTTTTTTTTTTCTTTCTTTCCTTCGCATCCATCCATCCATCCCCTAGTAAATCGCGCCAATTCTTAACCCTTGTACAAAAACTGGGGTGGTTGGACAGCACAATGGTTGTTACTCTAAACGAAGGGTGCGAGGATTGGATGGACCGAATTGGAGGAAGAAGAAGAAGAAGAAGAGAAGTAACAGGTGAATGAGTGAGTGAGTGAGTGAGTGAGTGAGTGAGTGAGTGAGTAGGTGAGTAGGTGAGTGAGTGAGTTGACTGACTTGACTAACTTGACTGAGTGAGGTGACGGAGTGACAAGCCAGCAAAATGGTTCAATTATACATACGATACCGGCACCGTATCATACCATCTTGAACCTCCAGGGCCCCTTCGAATACCTCGTGAAGAATACAAAAACATTTGACAATACGAATTCTTATTTTGATACCCCAAACCTGCATACATGTGACACCCCAGAATACCGACTCAGCACCATCCAGCTCTTTTGTCAATCCCTAGGTACATTAATCATGGTTACTCGTAGTGCTTGGTGTTGTTGTACTTTTCACTCTATTTTGCTGCGTTGGTTGTATTCTACTTGTATCGTGGGGTATCTCGAAGATGTGAACGTGATACCTCTTAATCCCTACCGTCGTCTGCTCTACGTACGGAGTACATGGCACCTTTGACCTATCGAGGACTAAATCCATCACGGACTTGACCAGAGAAAGTGATAAAAACAACAGAACAACAAAACAATGAACGGACCCAAAATGCGAGGTGGCAGTATGGGGCCAATCCATCCATCAAAAGTGGCAGAGTCGCAGAGTGGCCGTGACCGTGGCCCTTGAGTTCTGGCCGCTTGAAAACAATGGATACCGACTAAAGACAAGGGTTTGGGAAAGGCTGGCTGGTTCTCAAATTCTCAATTGAGAGAAAAAAAAAAGAAAGGGAGAAAAACAAGTGTGAATTGAAACGAGGGTTTTTAATATACGATCGCTGACGGGTCAGTAATGATTGGGTGATATTGATAGCAGCCGTTCCGGTTCCAAATTATCAATGGTGATCAATTAACTGGATGAAATGAATGTGAGGGAGGACGAGGGAGAGGGAGAGGGAGAGAGGGAGAGTTATTTTTACTTTCTCCTTCCGATGCTTGTGTTGAGAAGATGGTGTGGTGTGGTGTGGTATGGTGTGGTGTTGTCGTGGGTATTGTTTTACCTTGATACCGATGAAGGGGCAGTAATGGTGTTCAAGTCTATTCTCCTGGTGGTGGATGTGGATGTGAATGTGAATGAATACTTTGTATGAATGTAAACGTGAATTGCTCTCGAATTCTTCCGAATCCCAAAGGGAGTCAGATCAGAATAGGAAATATCGATGTCTACCTATCTATCTGCGTACCTACACACTGACACAGTAATGAATTGCATAAAAGACATGTTCGGATTCGGATGCGAAGAAAGGCTGCTTTAAGCATACATAGGAGACCTTCGGATCTTCGCCTTCTACGGTAGCTGATCTGTTCTTCCAAATCCTAGACGAAACCTTTCAAAACGAAAAAAGAAGATGAAAAAAAGTGGCCAGGACAATGGTAAGCCGCGTGAACCCAAGGAAAGACGGAACAGCGATGGTGATGATGAAGGTGATGATGATCCGATGCGAGTATTTACTGGTGGGGCATCTTTCTTGATGGTTCACAATTGAATTGAAATTGAAATTGAAATTGAATTAAATCAAATCAAATCACATCAAATCACATCACATCACATCAAATCAAATCAGATTAACACCAGTACATGGATGCTGGCGAAAGTGGCGAGCCCGTTCTTTCTCTTCTGTCGATTCCTACATCCGGATTATGATGGATGATCTTGCTTGACGAATGGATCTCACATACCATACCGTATCCAATCTTGACCAGGGAATTAACTTTCTTCAACCGCCATCCAAGCTCACTCCAAGCATTCTTCTTTGCATTTGAACCTTGCCTTACCGATCAAGCCTGCATCGCATTACCTGCTGCGACGTTTTCCCTCCTGGCGGCGGCGGCGGCGGCGTAGACGTCTCTTTCCGTAGCTAAATGAAGACATCCTGTTTACTTACATATTGTATCTTGCCGTTGCCCTTTCTCAAACATCCCCCAACCCATAATCCATAACCCCCAACCCTCAACATCCAACCACATAATACACCACACACTACACTCACTGTACACACCTACCTACACCTTGCTGCCGCGCAAGAAAAGTTAAAATTGAGCTGAGCCCTGGCAACTATTCCTGTCTTGGAGGGGCCGAAATGCACTCCAGACTTTTTCATTCAGAACGAAAGCACCGTGCCCCAATTCTGCACAGATTCTGCCTTCTGCACATTTCCGGGAGACGAGATGTACGGAGTAGGGAAAGTGATGAAAAATTCCTATCGGAAATTTTATGCTGATGCTGATGCTCATGCTGGTGCTGGTGCTCATGCTCATCATGCCTCCATGCTTATCCTTCACCCAAATGGCTCATGCTTCATGCTCATCCAATTGTCCGACGTGTGTCCTGTGCGGTGGCCGGGCTTGATTCTTTCAAGCTTGATCGCTGTGATGGGAGGGAAAGGGTTCGGTAGGTTACTGCGATGCACTCTACAAGCTTGTTCCGCCTGCACGACGGGATCTCCTGCTTTTGCATATCGTTTCTCTTCGATCCCGTCCCCCCCCTTTTTTTTACTACGGTCTATCCTTGAAGGCAGAATCGCTGGAGCTTCCAACCTGCTTGGAAGTTGGAGCTGGAGCTTGGATCATACAATATCTCGTGGATGTGAAGGCAACACCAGTCACCAGTGCACAGCAACACCCCATCGAGGACCACCACCACACAGTGGCACATATGCACAGATGGGAGATCAATGGTATTGCCGGCATAGCATGGCATGGCATTGACAAATACTCCCTACCTAGCGAATAACATTGAAATTATGTAACGTAACCCCGTGACCTTTTTAGTATTAGCATCTGATGAGACCAAGCATTGATACTCTGTCGAGTCTGTACAGAGTATATCCATACAGTCCTAATTTTACTAATTTTATTTACCTACCTAGTATCTACTCTAACTTCTACGATGACCTCCCTCCGTATCTACCGATTAGATATACACGAGCCGCTGAACCAGTTCCAACCGCCGTCTTCTTTGCATAACATATGAGAATCTTCCGTTCCTCATCACGACATTGCCAGATCTGCCACCAGCGCGATCGCATATCTAGCTTCGAACGCCTCATGAGCACTACATTCTACTTTTCTGACCCGCTGGTTCTCGGACTTTTTCCAGCCTTTTCATCACATCCTATTCTCCTACAAGTCCTTGATCATACAGTATCTGAGTATCATTATTCCTATTGAGCTCGCTGAGACTGTCTAAAGTACTCGGTGGTTTGCTCCGTCAATAATACTCCGTCTTCCGTATATCGTAAATCTCTCGTAGATAATGCGATGCGTTTATCGGTTCACCAGTTCCATGTGCGTTAATTACCTAACCCTTCGTGATTGATCGTCCCTAACGAGCATGTCCGATAATTCACGGACTGATCGGAGCGAGCCTTGGATTTGGTTGGGATCACTAAAATAGCTAGCTTCAGCTTGACCTTGCGCCACGGGAATTCGTTTTTACGACTCATGGGATATATTCATCCCCTAGTTTCCGTGGCTAGGAGGGAGACCCTAAGATTTAGACTATTAGTGGAAAAGGAAGTACGGGAGAATTTCGATATCAGCCTCGGCTCCCGGACCATCTCTTCGTAACGATTGCGGCTTGCACAAAGTAGCATCCCTCTTTCAAAGCGGCTTAAACATGATAGTATATCCTCAAGGTTCTTAAGGTTCTCAACCGGGTAGACGGTGGGGCGTTTCAATTGTCAATAGATGAAGAGGGGAAAAGAGGAGTTGTATCCCTAATGTGATAACAAGGTAGGAGGGTGGTAATTATTGATTATTGAGGTGATTGTAAGTCTCATACTTGGAGAGTGATATTGATTCGTTATCAATATAGTAACTCAACGGCAATCTATGGAACCACCAACCACAAATTAATCCTCTCCTTGAATAGAAGCTTATCCAAAGGGATCTTTTGCGGCCATAAGGAAGTCTAGATGAAGGGAGCCGTTCTATCAAGCCAGTAAAGTACGGAGTATCTCATAACAAGTATATTGAGGTTTAAAGCAGCATCAATTGTAACTTTCCTCCTGCCACTTTTGCAACATCCACATATCACGCCTTCGGCTCTTTTTCCCGCCACTTTACCACCAGCTTTTTTTCTCTATCCTGAATTAGATGTATCAAATACTGCCCAGGTGTTGTCAACTTGTTGAGAAGAAGGTCTCGACGCCAAGGACCTGAGAACAGCCGTGAGTTACTCTATCTGGGAACTCTGTAAACCGGGTTGTAACCCGTTCATCAGTACCGAGTAATGTAGTCGTTCGGATCATCTACTAATTTCACATAGACAACAACATGATAGTATGATCATACTCTATCTATTCTTCAACGATGCCGACAGGCTACATTAAATTGACGGCGATATTACCTATTCATCAACCTGTCTCTGCAAGGATGGGGATGCCATCCGGTTTCCCCATTAGTAATGTAACACAGCGTGCACCCATTTGGGCAATTCGATGTCCTTGGTCTTGTCATCTTCCAAGACTCAAGAGCAAGGTTTTCATGGTCAACAACAAGGTTGGTGAATTACACCTGAAGCCGGAACAATGGCCGAATTAAACGGTCATCGGTGTCATTCAAAAACGAGTGGTCTTTGCGATAATAAAGATGCTGCCCCGTTCCATCCTTACTAGTATACATATGCTACAATGACAGGCTTCAGAGCAAGCATGTTGGACGCAGGGTTCCTTCCGATGTGAAAGGGAACTCCCTTCTTCTCTGCTTCTCTCGTGAGAAGTTACGCTTGGTCACAATGAATCGAGCAATTGAAGAGGCTCAAGCTGCCATGCCAGTGTATGCATAGGAAGATTCTTTGCTCAACAGATAATCCGAAAGATGGGAGATGGTAAAGCTGCATGCTTCAAACAAAATCATACATACATACCTACATTGATTCGCATTGGCAATGGAACCTCTGACACGGCTTACTTCCAGATTGCACTTTGTTTGCTTACAAGTTACAACCAACAATCCATGTACCGACATGCGCGAGTCAGGGTTGCAGGTGAGATTCTAGATTCCTTTCATATTAATTGTCTATCCAAAATTGAATGCATTCCATCTCCAGACAGCAGACATCATGATGAAAGTGTTATCATTTTAATATCGGGAACGAATCGGCAACACACGCGCTGACTTGAATCGAAGCCCCAAGGACATGTTCTGTTGGATGAATATTCAAAGGGTGGGGATGCTGTCTCAAAGCTCAAGATGACATCTAGGGTTTTTCGAGCTCGTGAGTCGTGACCCAGGAACCTCGTCACACTTCATCTCGATAATACAATCGTGGACGAAGGAGACTGGTGGAACGAGCACCTTGCCAGTCTCGAAGTTAGCCATGTTTCCTCCCAGCCAACATTTTCATCTTGTCAATCCGCCTCGAATTTAAAAGAGTCATCGGAGAGATACGAAATCAATTTTGTATCACATTTCCACACGGTGAGAAGGAAATGGGGAGATCTCGAAGTTGGGAGGCCAGTCAGCCAGCCAGCCTTCCGCGACCCCGACGCAAGGAACGGTGCGAAAATAGTGCACAGCATATGATACCGTTACTAGAACTTTTTGTATCTGTAGTCATGGGTTTTTTACTCATAATGGGTTTCATTCATCAATTGTTTGGAGAAACTTATCATGTGCTTTCAACTCTTTGAGACGAGACCAAACGAAGCTTCCCAGCTTACTTGCGTCATCACGCATACATGCGTATCGATATCTAGATCTTGATTCTTAAGGTTTGATTAATTACGGACAGCTTGATCTTTTTAGGGCAATTCCTGCGTAAAATGATGTCGATCTATTTATCTCTAAAGATTTATCTTCATGTACTCTGTATGTATGTATGTATGTATGTACACATCGCAAATCCATGAACCCGCCGATTTGCGGAGGCAGACGATGGAGATCTTTTCACTTCTGTAAGAGCAGTTCTACAACAGTCGGTTATGTCTGCTGGTTAATGGAACAATGCGGCTCTCCGAGACAGGTATTGTATGCCATGCTATGATGTGATTTTATGTTGCACAATGAACTGGAAATCTTATGCAGATGGGGAGGAAGGAAAGGGTATGAGAAGAGGAAGAGTGATCCAAATTGCACCATCAGAATTTACTCAATTGGGATGGATCATTCGGACCGCATGTGAAAACTCAATGGCGCCAAACCGATATGAATCCGAAAGATCAATTTCTGGACTCTGGATTCTGGATTCCGATCCATACTGGTTGGTATCAGTGTAAAACTCACGAGTCACGTTGTCTTACACTTTCAATTCTTTGTATAGACTATTCAGAATCCATTGGCAATACGTGACCCACGTATACCCATGAACTTCTTTTCACCGCCTCTCGCGAACACGATCCCAGCCACCTTGCTCCGCATCCAATTGGCTCCGTTTTACCTTTTTTCTTCCCCCCAGTCTCCGTGCAGCAGCCTGTGAGCAGCCGCTGCGCATGCAGGATGCAAGTGTTATGAAGGCAAGGGCCACCAGAAAATTTCGGCATCAGACCCTGCAGAGTTTTTGTGCGCAGTATGCTAGTATGGCTATCCTTGTTGGATGAGATGAACGGAGGAAGGAGGGGAAACTTAATACTGCTTGTGGGATGCTTATCGCGACGGGCGTCATCGATCATTATCTGGTCTGTCTCTGTTGGAGAATCTATCTTCGTGATTCAATTACTGTACTTCACCACTTTGAACCATTTCATCTTCGCCCATGAATACAAAAGCCCAGTAAACAAGGAACGATTCCCCTCGACCCATTGCGCAAAACTGGAAAATCCTTAATTCATCGCACATACGTAGCTACCTACCTTATCGAGCTTATTCTCTCCTCCCATAACCACACTCCATAAGGCTAGTCCCCTTTTTCACTTTTCTGCACACGCGGAAAACGGTCCGTCTTACACCATTTTCAGCATCCCTGTCCGGTGTCGTTCTTGGCCTGCTTGCCTCCAATCATTTCATCCGACACGATTATGGTCTGTATGTAACGAGAAACGCACAACATCGAGAAGCAGCACGCCCAAAGATGCGCTAGCGCAAGCCCCATGGTGAAAATCCCGAAGCGAGGCGTTCCCAAAGCGTGTCACCGAGTAGGAAGTACTGCTTCTTTGGGACTGGTGCGGGATTTATTGTGGTTTGGGGGAAGGGTTTTTTTGGATTTTGGTTTTCTGTCTGGAGGAAATAAGAAAAGACTAGGGATGATCATGGATGGAAGGCGAGAGGAGCGAAAAAAGCTCGGTCTACGACGTGGTGGATGGTGATTGGGGTAACGTTGTTCAAAGCGAGGACGAGAGCGAGTTATTTTTCATACTCCGTCGACTTAGAGCCTATCCGCGAGTCTAGAGGGGAGGAAAGGTTTGTTCTAATTTCTGGGATCGACACTCGTTGAGGGGGTTTTGGGATGTTGTTCATATTCGCATCATGGCATGATGATGAGAAAAGATTGATCTGGGAGCGTAAGGTGGGGGGTGGGACGAAATGAGCAATGAGAGTAGAGTCTCGAAAAGAGGGGAAGCCACTTGATTTGAGCATTTTTCGGGAGTCTGAGTGAAGTTCGAGATTTGCAATGTGTGGGATCTGGATGCTGGAGATGGATGCAAGTTTACAGTGTAGGTACGTAGGGGACAGTTGTTGTGCATGCATACGGCGTAGGTACTGGATCGTGCAAAAAGCTTAGACTCTCACGACGGAGTATGGATATACATATTACATACGTACGATGTTGAAATTTGCCCGCTGAAACTAGAATGTCGATGTGGTATAGATCAACAGCCTAGCTTGAGGATGGGACTACGCACTACACTACGCTGCTGCACCGCGCTGAGCGTATAAATTCTTGGCGAGAAGGGGAATCATAGGACAAAGCTTGAACCCTAGACGCCAGAATTCATCCCTGGGGGAGTGAGGAATTCCTCATTGTGTATGGTTCATGATTGAGTGCTGAATAAAAAGTCATTAATAGCAACGGTACGATAAGAATCCACATCCAACATCTCATCATTCAACGAACTATACTATCGCAAGATATTATTGATCTGGGTCTAGTGGAAAACCCATCAAGAGAATTGATTAATTTATTCTTTTTTCTTTTCAGAAGCAAAAGAGTGCTAACGTTAGCGGGGGACGGAGAAAAGGCCGTTTAATTTTTCTTTTCCTTTTCTCTTGTGTTGGCGATCAGAATGAGGTGGATGGCGTCTCTTAGCGTCTTCTACACCGCCTTTTTGTGGTTGAGAACCTAGAGAGGGCGAATGAGGGGTTCTCGCTCTAGCGACAACGAACCTTGGAAAAACGACTATTTTTTTTCATTGTGCTATCGTTATCGATGACTGATGGATTCTTTGGGGCATCCAATTGATGGCTCTGAATTTGGAATACGACTAGGTCGATTTTTTGTCCCGATCTTGATATGGTGACTGGGAAACTTGGAAGGGCTCTTTTCTTATCTCGCTACTCTGGTCCAACAACCAGAGATAGTTCTAGTACGGTAATAACAAGACATCCAAATCTTACGGGAATTGGGAAGGACGTTTTGGACATCGAAGCACCACGCTTGATTGTATGTCAGCTTCTAGATACCCATGAAACTAAAGTCTCAAGGGGTTATAGACAAGGGCTGAAGTGAAAACAAAGAAGGAAAGAGACCAGAAATTTTTATACAAAAAGTTATGAAAGTAGACACATTGAGCCCGAGAATCGGTTGCAAGTAGGAAAAAAAAAACACAAACCCCAACGCTGCTGACACACAGTCGATCAAAACACTCAAAATCAAATATAGCCTTAATATGGTATCAATATATTGTAATTCCCCAAGACCCAGTACGTGCTTACCCTCGCAGGGTAATACCCTTCTAACCCCAACAAAACCATTCGGAGATACTCCATATGTAAGTACCAAGAACTTCACATGGGAAGGACGTTGAAGGGAGTGGTACTTGCATCTTACAGTGGTGAAAGGAAAGATATGTCCGCGAAAACGGGAGTATCCGTTCCCATGTCATGACCCTAAAACCTCAAACCAACCCGCGCCATACATACATACATACATACATACATACATACCTACATACATACATCAGTCCAGACTCGCCATGTCAATCCGTAAATGTTCTCGTGACCCTCACATGGTTGGAAAGATGTGCGCATTTTGACCTCTCGGACTCAACCCCCAATTTGGTACAACCCTCGTGTCCCAAAAGATGCAATTCTAGGATTGATGTATATTGCTCGCGCATAATTTTTTAAATGAACTGAGTGTTTTGTATAACCCCAATAGCGGCTCATCCAGAATATGATTACACTATCAACCGGTAGAAAAAGAGTCAACAGGGTGTTGTTGATAGAAGTGATGTTTGCTAATGACCGGAAAACGGCTGTTAAATTCAATGATGGAAGTACAAAACATGTATGTAAATAAAGAGCAGACGCGGCACGCAGGATGGAAAAGGCATGTGAGGAAGCCAACTACGCACGCCACTCACTTGATTGCACTGAATGGAAATAGAAACTTGCAGAACTGGGAAATGCACGATTGGACACTTTTCGTATTTCGGCTTTTTCTGAAGGACGCACCAGCCATCCATCTGAGGAATGAATCAAAAGACGCACGACATAGTTGCAGCTTTCAAATTACATGGAGAGTACAGTAGGCACTGTACTGTAACGATCGTGCATCAAGCCGGCTGCTGTTCTGCGAGGCGAGGCGAGGCGAACGGGTACTTGCTGCTTGCATATCCTATGCTATGCCCTCCTTATCCCAGTGCCTCCTTCATGTAACCAAGATATGTTTTAATGAAAAGATTTGGA